TGATGTAAATAAAAGTCCTTCATGTAGGCTATTGCTCAGACTTTTGATTCAGATTCACCTTTGATTGTCCTTACCTGACATATTTGATCCCTGTGAAGTGGCTAACTTGTAAGGACCTTCCATGATATTCCATAAAAGCTCTAGATACAGGTGTTGCTTTATTAAATCTATATGTTCCACGACACAGAGTTTCAATCGGTGGGTGGGTCATTGTATCAAATATGGTTTATTTAATTACTCAATGTATTGGAATTTAAAAATGTAAAATACAGTGGAGGGGAGGTGATTTAAAAAAACGTTTAGGTAAAAATGTTTTTTTTATTAGGTTTTCCTATTAAAAACGCTTGCCCCTGAAGGTTTAACCCCTTAAGGACCACACTTCTGGAATAAAAGGGAATCATGACATGTCACACATGTCATGTGTCCTTAAGGAGTTAAACGTTGATTTTGATCTTTTTATAAATTTGCATATTATGTTTTGTTTATAATGTGATACAAGTATACTAATGTAACTTTATTTTATTTAATTTTATTTTATTCTTACCCTATATTTACATATGCTCTTTTAAATCTTCATATATATTTTTCTGTGACATTTGCAATTTACTGTGACCTTTTTATATTTATATTTATTATAATTTCCTACTATCAGATTTTAAAAACCCTGTTGTGAGTAATCATATTTGCACTTGCTACTTGTCACATATATGTTTTATTTATTTGTTCCCTCTTTCCACTTTCTTTCATTGCCCTCCCTAATATGGCTGAAACATGTTAAATAATAAAGCTACAAAAAAAAGTGGTCATCTGACCATGACATCATTTGTCGTGTACATGTTTTTATCCACTTGAGAAAGCCCTAAGGGGAGAAACACACACTTATTTTAATTGCTCTATTTTATTAAAGGTATTTTGACCAATTTCAATGTGTGAGTCAACCATTTTACTCTTATTTATTTTTACCTGGCACCAGAGTTTTTATTGTTCCAGAGAAAATTTTACTCCAAAGAATCCTTGGTGGGGATTATACCACTCAAGCTTTATTAACCACTTGGCATTTTATTATTTCACATCTGGCTTTTATACAATAAGCACTATTCTTTTATATTTCATATGGTCCTTATACCAACAAGATATCCATCTACTACAAAACTTTACATATCCCATAAGTGGGGATTGTACCACTGTATGCCATCCACACTGGAGCTGTTCTTATAGCTCTGGAAAACGTGAGTAGGACCTCTTACAATATAGTTCTTAGTAACTTTTGGGATATACTGCACCATTATTTGCTGTCAAGAATATCCCATGCCTATACCTTATTGAGGAATACTTCTCCTGACATGATTGTGATTGACTTCTTATACAGGGATTTATTTGGACTTTTTGCTGTATTTCAGGCATAGACTCTTTTGGACTTACTTTTTGGACTCCCGATTCTTATTCATTATCTATAGAGTTGAGCAAACCTGGACTGTAAAGTTTGGGTTCGTACCGAACATTACGGTTTTTGGACCCCGGACCCAAACACTGACATATCACTGTATGTTCAGGTTGGAGTTAGGTGTTCAGCGATTTAATGGCGCGTTTTGAAAGGCTGCCGGGCAGCCAATCAACAAGCATTTGACTCGTGTGCCCTTAGAAGCCATCACAGCCATGCCTACTAATGGCATGGCTGTATTTGGTCAGTGCAGCATGTGACCCAGCCTCTATATATAAGCTGGAGTCATGTAGCGCCGCATGTCACATGAGCTCTTATTAGTGTAGGGAGAGGATGCTGCAGCTTTCAGGGACAGATTAGGAAAGAATTCTGCAAACTAGTACATTAGTGGGGTGCACTTCATATCTTAGAGTCAAATAGAAGCATCAAATAGTGCGGTTACAGCGCAGTTGTAAACATTCTTATTTTCTGGGTGCTAAACTGTTAAATAGTACATATTGGGCATGCTCTTCATATCTGAGAGTCAAATAGAAGCGTCAAATAGTGCGGTTACAGCGCAATTGTAAACATTCTTATTTTCTGGGTGCTAACCTGCTAAATAGTATATTTGGGGCGTGCTCTTCATATCTGAGAGTCAAATAGAAGCGTCAAATAGTGCAGTTACAGCGCAGTTGTAAAATTCTAATTGTTTTGGTGCTAAACTGCTAAATAGTACTTTTTAGGCATGCTCTTCATATTTGAGAGTCAAATAGAAGCGTCAAATAGTGCGGTTACAGCGCAATTGTAAACATTCTTATTTTCTGGGTGCTAAACTGCTAAATAGTACATTTGGTGCCTGCACTTCATATCTAAAAGTCAAATAGAAGCGTCAAATAGTTCTGTGACAACAATTATTTGGCTGCTAAATATTACATTTGCGGCCTGCGGTGAATTTCTTGCAGTCCAATAAAGTAAAAAAAAATTAAAAATTGTTGACTATTGGTGGTTACATTGTTGCCTGACACAAACCATCTGTTAGTTTGGTGGATGAACGCAAAGAATGAGGAGAGCATAGTCAAATAAGGGACGTGGCCCTGGTCGTGGTGCTGCCGGTGTTGGTGGAGCTCCTGTTGCAAGGAGAGGACGTGGTTGATCTGTGCCAGCTACACGCACAAGTGAAACACCTTCCTTAGGTGCGAGAAGGTGACAGAACCTTCAGCGTTATTTGGTAGGCCCGAATGCCGCTCTACAAATGGTGAGGCCAGAACAAGTACAGGCGATAGCAGATTGGATGGCTGCCAGTGCTGCCAGTTCCTGCACATTGTCTCCCACCCGGACCCCTGCTGAAAGCTCAGAGTTGGCACCTCCAGCCCATGGACATCTGTCTTTCACCTCACCCCCTTGCAAATCAGCCAAGCAGTCTGAGACACAAGTCATGCAGCAGTCTCTTATGCTTTTTGATAATGATCCACCTAGCCCTGCCCCAGAAGTGGAAGAGATTGAGTGCACTTATGTGTCAGGATGTGGACATGCAAGGACCACCGCAGCACATCTCTGATGATGACGAAACACAGGTGCCAACTACTGTAGCTTTCTGCAGTGTGCAGACCGGCAAAGAGGGCAGGGTTGAGGAGTGGGTGGAAGATGATGTGGAGGATGATAAGGTCCTAGACCCCACATGGAATGAAGGTCATGCTTGTGACATGTGCAGTTTGGAGGAAGAGGCGGTGGTTGCACAGAGGCACCCACACAGCATAAGAGGGTGCAAAAGCGGAGCAGCCGTCCCCTAGACAGTACGCCTGCTACTGACCACTGCACCCAGGAAATGAGCACACCAAAACTAGCTCCAAAGAGTTCCCTGGCCTGGAAGTTCTTCAGACAATGTGCTGACGACAAGACACTAGTGGTTTGCACGCTGTGCAATTAGAGCCTGAAGCGAGGCATAAACATGCTAAACCTGAGCACAACCTGCATAACGTGGCATCTACATGCAAAGCACGGGCTGCAGTGGACTAAGCACCTCAAAAACCAAGAAAGGTCTCAGGCTCCTCCTGCTTCCTCTTCTGCTGCTGTCTCTGCCACCCAGAAAACAGAGGATGTGGCAGCAACGCCACCACGTCCGCCACGTCCCCAAGCATCTCCACACTGTCCCAGCATTTAAAAATTTGTGGCCTTTGAAATGCTGTCATTCCGTCTGGTGGAGATGGACAGTTTTAAAAACCTGATGGCGGTGGCTGCCCCACAGTACGTGGTTCCCAGCCGCCACTATTTTTCCAGGCGAGCCATCCCTTCCCTGCACAACCAATTGGCGGACAAAATCAGGTGTGCACTGCGCAACTCCATCAGTGGCAAGGTCCACATAACCACAGATACGTGGACCAGTAAGCACAGGCAGGCACGCTATATCTCCCTAACTGCACAATGTGAAAATGTAGTGGCAGCTGGGCTTGAGGCGGATAGCAGTTTGGCGCATGTCCTTCCACCACCGAGGATTGCAGGGCATTTCTCTTTGCCTCCTTCTCCTACTCCGTTTCCTTCTCCTCTACCACCACCTCACCCGGGCAGCATAAAACCTTGACCACCAACTTCAGAACTGCCAGGGGGAAACGACAGAAGGCTGTTTTAAAACTCATATGTTTGGGGGGAAACCCCCACACTGCGCAGGAGCTGTGGACGGGCATGGAACAACAGTGGTTGTTGCCACTGAGCCTTAAGCCTGGCCTGGTGGTGTGCGATAATCAGTGAAATCTCATAGCAGCTCTGGGCCTAGCCGGTTTGACGCACATCCCTTCCATGGCGCATGTGCTGAATTTGGTGGTGCAGAAATTCCTGAAAAACTACCAAGATATATCAGAGCTGCTGCAGAAAGTGCGGGCCGTCTGTGCGCGCTTTTGGCGTTCTCACCCTGCTGCTGCTCGCCTGTCTGTGCTGCAGCATAACTTCGGCCTTCCTGCTCACTGCCTCATATGCGACATGCCCACAAGGTGGAACTCCACCTTGCACATGCTGGAGTGGCTGTGCGAGCAGCAGCAGGCGATAGTGGAGTTTCAGATACAGCACGCACGGGTCAGTCGCTCTGTGGAACAGCACCATTTCACCACCAATGAGTGGGCTTCCATGCGAGACCTGTGTGTCATTTTGCACTGTTTCGGGTTCTCCACCAACATGGTCAGTGCCGATGACGCCGTTCTCAGCCTTACTATCCTGCTTCTATGTCTTCTTGAAAAAACGCTTCGGGTGATGATGGAAGAAGATGTGGCACAGGAGGAAGAAGAGGAGGAAGAGGGGTCATTTCCACGGTTATCAGGCCAGTCATTCACAAGTGGCTTGGAGGGTCAGTTCCTGCACCAGCATAGGCCAGGTACACAATTGTCCAGCCAGGGCACAGTTCTGGAGGATGAGGAGGAACCGTGCTCACAGCAGGGTGGCACCCAACGCAGCTTGTGGGCATCACTGGAGCATGGCTGGGGGGATACGGAGGACACAGACGATGCACCTCCCACAGAGGACAGCTTGTCCTTGCCTCTGGGCAGCCTGGCACACATGAGCGACTACATGCTGCAGTACCTGCGCAATGACTGCCGAGTTGCCCACATTCTAACCTGTTCTTATTACTGGGTGGCCACCCTGCTGGATCTCCATGATAAGGACAACGTGCCGTCCTTAATTCCCTCACTGGAGCGTGATCGGAAGATGCGCGACTACAAGCACACGCTGGTAGATGCGCTGCTGAGGGAATTCCCAACTGACACTGGGAGCTCAGTGGAAGCACAAGGCGAAGGCAGAGGAGGAGGAAGAGTTCGCCAACGCAACTGGGCACTGCCAGCACCTCAGAAGGCAGGGTTAGCATGGCCGAAATGTGGAAAAGCTTTGTCAGCATGCCACAACAACCAGCACCACCATCTGATATGGAACGTCTTAGCAGGAGGCAGCATTTCAGCAACATGGTGGAACAGTACGTGTCCACACGCCTACATGTACTGACTGATGAGTCTGCCCCATTCAACTTCTGGGTCTCCAAACTGGGCACATGGCCTGAGCTATGCCTTGGAGGTGCTGGCCTGCCCTGCAACCAGTGTATTGTCTGAACGCGTGTTTAGCACGGCAGGGGGGAGTTATCACAGACAAGCGCAGCCGCCTGTCCACAGCCAACGTGGACAAGCTCATGTTTATTAAAATGAACCAAGCATGGATCCCACCAGACTTGTCTGTACCTTGTGCAGAATAGACATTCATACCAGCCTCACCCAGCCATTGTTATACTCAAGTGCACTTATTCTTTGTTTTCCTTTTTTATATGTCCCAATATTTTGGGGGCTACCCCAATAAAAAAATTAAAAAAAAGTGTTGGCTACCTCCTCCTCCTCCACCGCTGCTTCCACCTACACAGCCATGGTCACCACCTCCTCAACCTATGGGTCACTTAGTATAAACTATGTACACAATAGCAGAGGCTTGTGAAGGCCTTTTCTCCATGCATCAGGAGTTGAGCTCAGTTTGAACAATGAAAGAGAATACCCTGCACTTCAACCCTCTCTCAAATGGATAATTCTGGTTATGCTTTAGATTTTAATTTATGTTCTTCCAAAGCTCAAATCCAAGATTCCATCTAGTGCTATTTTATGGCTCAGCTGTATTTTTAATTTTTATGTTATTTTAAGTGATTTCCCTATCCACATTTGTTTTCAGGGCACTTGTCCTACTCTTACCCCCATTTCACTTCCTTTTGCAGCCCTCTAGCCCTTTCCAGGACTTTTTTAGAGGCATTTTAGTGCCCAAAAGTTTGGGTCGCCATTGACTTCAATGGGGTTCGGGGTCAAGTTCGAGCCCGAACCCGGACTTTTTTTTCAAAGTTCGGCAGAACCCGCCGGACCCGAACATCCAGGTGTCCGCTCAACTCTAATTATCTATATTTCAAACTATTTTTGTTTTTTTTATCTTATATGTATTCTCTTATGTAGTGTCTTGTATATATGCTTGTATAGTACTGGGGGTGATTCAGTGGGGTGGTTCACCCTCTAAACGACTGGGTTAGTGATTGATTTGGTATGGGGTCGTTCCCATTGAAATTCAGAGATGTAACAAGTTTCAGTAATTTGTGGGAAATATTTTTCCCTGTTATGCCCCCAGCATGTGGTGTCGGTAGTATATGAGGGGGTCACCCTCTGGGGTATGCTTTGTTAAATGAGACCGGTTCTCCCCAGTTACATCGTGGAGGTGTTTGCAACATGTGAGCTTGGGTTTTACCCCAGCTGACGAGGGGTCATCCCTTGGTATGTGCGTAATAATTCTGTGTGAAGAATGCACAGATGTCAGTTGGGGTGTTGCCCCAGTAGTACAGGGGGGGGGGGGGTCACCCCTATGTATATAGCCTCAGTAGGTAAGTAGTATGTGGTGACAGATCTCTTGTACCTTTAATAATGACACAGGACAGTTTGCAATTGTATATAATATGCTGTTACAAGCACAGCACTAACACATTATACCAGCTTCAGCAACAGTAAATATATATAAAAGTATGTAACAGACTGCTATATTTTACTGTTTTGCTTTAAGTTTTGAAATATTGAACTTGGCCCTTTGCCCTGTCATGTGAGGAAGGGCTAGGATGGCAGGAAGAAGAGGACAGGGGAGAAGCCATGTTCCCTGAGTCTGCTTAAAGAGTGTTCCTACCTGTTTTAATGGTCTATTACTGCTGGGACAGTGAAATAGTTGAAGGCTAGTACACTGCAACTACAAGAAGTTGGAGACTGTCTACTGCTCTGCTAGGAGAATTAGAAGACTTGTTATTTTATGTTCAACTCCCTGCTGATTCTGGAACTTTCTGCAGTAGTGTGAATGAGCTCTTGCATCCTGTCAGCAGAAGGAAGAGAAGGGATTGCCATTGCTGTTCTGCTGCTGTCCTACATTCTGCTGTATCTCTCTGGAAATATCTGCAGTTACAGAAGTCACTCAAAGGTACTGTCTCCAGAGATTGCTTCAGGAGTCTCCCTTATAACTGTAGCGCTACCTACACATAAGGGCCCCAACGTGGTGCACATAATTTACCTGCAGGTACCTAGGAGTTTAACTGTTCAGATGTAGTTACTGATGTTATTAAGAGAAGTTTGTTGTCTGCATTCCGGCTGCTAAAGACTCTTGCGACTGTATCAGGGAATTTATCATCATTTAACATTAGCCGGGAACTGCATTGTTATTTCTGCTGTTATATGTGTATCTCTTTAACCACAATACAGTGTGTAGTCCCATGTCTGTAGTTATTTCATGTCTCTGAGTTATTAAGTGGAGGGTACTCATCTACTCAGTGTGGTGGGTTCCCCATAAATAGAAGTTGCACTGAGTGGAGGCACTGCGTCAGAACAAGATGTCCCGATCTCCCAACTATAGCGGAGGCTCAGGATCCCTGTCAGCGACAGAAGAAGGTGTAACTGCTGCTAGCTACGGCTTGTTGCCAGAAGAAGAGCAAAAAAGCGTTACATATATATATATATATATATATATATATCAATGTAGCCCCTGCATACTGCCGCCATATATATATGGCAATGTAGCCTAAATCGTGTGAATTACAATCTGGCTGAGTTAAAGGACCACGATAGGCACCCAGACCACTTCAGCTTAATGAAGTGGTCTGGGTGCCAGGTCCAGCTAGGTTTAACCCTTTTTTCTGTAAACATAGCAGTTTCAGAGAAACTATGGACTGGCTGTGGACAGCCAGTGACGGAAGAAGAGGGAGGAAAGGAGGAGGAGAGCTCCCCGCCCGGCGCTGGAGAAAGAGGTAAGTTTAACCCCTTCCTCCCCCTAGAGCCCGGCGGGAGTGGGACCCTGAGGGTGGGGGCACCCTCAGGGCACTACAGTGCCAGGAAAACGAGTATGTTTTCCTGGCACTATAGTGGTCCTTTAAGATGGCTGCCGAGAAGCTTGCAGGTCTCACGAGATTCAAGATGGCCGCCGTTCACGCGAAATCGCAGCCCGTCGGCGGCAGTATACAGGTACCCCACACTTCCCCCACCCACAGAACCTCCAAAGTAAGCCCTAGAAAGCCAGAACAATGACAGTAAAACTGACAAGTGAGAGATGGATAGATCCCTAGGTCAGAAAGCCAGGCTCAGACCAGGAGGGAAAGGCTCTGGGGATGCAAAAAAAATGTACTAAAGGCAATGTAAGAGGGGAGATAAAGCCAGGGGAGGGAGTAGAAAGGGGAATAGAGAGTATAGAAAAAAGGAAGAGAATAGGCGCTCGCTATAGTGATCAGGCAGCAGTATATACACAAGGATTCCCAAGCCTTGTAAGTGAATAGTAGAAAAAAAGAAAAAACGTATACCGCGCCTAATTTATATATGTGAAATATACATACATATATCTTGAATATTCCAAATGGATCGTAACCTCAAAAAGAAAAGATTAAGAA